TTTCCTTCCTCTTAAATTGATCCTAGGTACCAAGGTTGCCAAGGTTGGAGTTGAGCTGAAGATGACTTTTAAGCACACAAAAGGTGTTGAAAGTGTGTGTGTGTGTGTGTGTGTGTGTGTGTGTGTGTGTGTGTGTGTGTGTGTGTGTGTGTGTGTGTGTGTGTGTGTGTTATGTTATGGATTTAATATATGCATGTTCTTCTAGTTGCAACTTCATAATGTAAATGTGTTTGCCAATTCAGGGTGAGACCCTGTTCTATGGGGGGGAGTGTGAAGGCCAGCGGGCTGGCCTTGTGTTTTGCTTTTTCTTTTACCTGTTTCTTGCAGGTAGGTGGAGCTGACCCAATTATTGATGCAGCACATCTGAGAGGCCAGTCCCAGTGTGTATATAAAGACACCTTGACTGAACCAGCATGGCGCTGGCTTTGGCTCTCTCTGTCTTGTTCATTTGGAAGTTTCAGTTATGGCTGTTATGTCCTTTAAATTGTGTTTAAGTTGCTTTACCTTATTTTCATTAAATATGTCTTACAGTCTTTAGAAACCTGTGTGTGGTCTCCCATTTGTTTGTCACTTCCTATGAGCTGGGTAATCAGATGGAAAAGTCTCTTTTTAAAACTTTAGTTTTAATCTTTTAACTTTATGCATCAAGCAAACATTTAATTATCTGCAACATTCTCTGACTGGAAGAAATTTGTTTAACATTTAAACCTATTTTCTGCACATTCCAGCACATAAAATAAAATATTTTTTGTGTTTACACTCAGTCTTTCAAATAGATGCAAGTAAAACACAGCAGAAAATAAATAAAATCAAAGACTCAGCGGTCCTGTTGCTCTATTTTCACCTGTAAAGCAGGCGGATGTTTGCTGCTTTAAAGTGTTTTAGTTTCTTTATATGAGGTTTGAACCTACAGGGGGCAGCAGGTACCCAAGAAATCATGAGACCGGCACAGAAACTAAAACCATGTACTGAAGTGTGCACGGTCAACAACGTGGATTTCACACACATAAAAGAGCTGATAGTGGATTATACTGCTGATTTATTCTAACTTACAACATTTTCACTACTTTACTCTTACAGTCCACTCATAAAACAGGTCATTTCATCTCCAAAAACATTGAAGTGGTTCATCTGCTGCAGCTGTTACTTGGTGTGTTTTAATTAGTTACTAATTCTAATCTAAACTTGAACTAAAACACCAGAAACATGTTTGCTGTGAGCTACAAATTCTCTGCTGCCTTTAAAGAAACTTACTGCTATAAACCAGCCTAAAGTTTAACATTAGGCACAACTTCAAACTGATGAAAGACTTGTTTTTTTGTTAGAAGAAGAAAGATGCATACAGATGCTGAACGTCTGTTTATATTATGTGTCACTAAATGCACAAAAGAAGGCTTTTTACAGCAGGAACGTTTCCCTACCTTGAGGATTTCTCCGTCGGCGTAAAGCACATATATGGTCACCTCGATGTTCTTCTGAACGCTTTTCCCTCCCCTCTCAAAGTCTCCTCGCTCCAGTGTCAGGTACAGGTCGTTACGGATGTCACCTGGACCAGCAGAGACATGTTAATGCAGACTAATATGTGTCAAACACCAGCGCACATGGTTGTTTTATTTGTAAAGATGCAACAAAGATGCAAACATGTCCGTAATCTCGAAGCAGGCGCGGTGTGTCGCACACATTTTAAGCTGACACACATAAGACTAACGACCTGTGTGGACTCATTTATCACTCCCCGCTCGTCCTCATAGAGGAGGTGTCACCTTTAATGTATAAAGATGGGAGTTAAACACTCACTCCATCACTGCCTGAGGGGAGCAGTGGTTAATGTGTGTGAAAGACACTGGTGCCTGTGGGATGTGCAGCCCTGCTGTTTTCTTCCTGTTTGCTGTAGAGGGAAGCTTAATGTAAGCGTTCATTTGTTTACCTGTTAAGCTCATCATCATCAAGAGTATTCACCAATGAGAGCAGCACAGCAGGTTCATGAGCTGGACTATGAAGCTGCTCGACTCGTGTCCTTTATTTCTAAAGGCGAAAGTTAAATACAAAGCTAACGATTGGCTTGCAGGGCTGCTAAAAAAGGACCTGATGTGGTACAGATGAATCTATGGTAATGATGATGTATTCAAAGCACTTCTTGTAATTATGTAAAGATTAACTCTTGACAGCTGGCACGACGGGGTAAAAGCTTTGAATAATTTCTGTAGCAGGCTGTAAGAATGTTCATTTCCTGCTGTAAAGTTAACAGGAAGTCTAAGGGACTGACTTGCTTTTAGAGGAACTGCAGTTTTTTGCCCTCAGCTTCATTTTTCAGCCCTGTCTATTGAAGAGCAACAGACATTTCTGCAGCTCTAAAACATGGCAGCTCACATCATAACTACCTCACCGGACAAACAGCACCACAGACCAGAGGAGAAATTATATTTGGGGCTGAAATTATGCCTCTAAGAAAGCCTCTCTTGTCAAGCACATAAATGCGGGATGTTGAATATTTTCTGAGGTCACATATTTTACAGGCTGCATAAATGAATTAACAGGAGACTGTGGAGATCATAGCACTTTAGCTTCAGCAGCATCAGTGTTTGGTATTTCTGCTAAATCTAAAAAGTAATCATGAATGTGGGACAGGTAAGGTTTCTTTAACTGAATGAAGCTGCAAGCAGTGGATACAAAAAGCAAACAGTGAGATGCTTTTTGTATGTAAATCCAGCTGCTGCCTGGATGTGATATCAGGCTGCTGCAGCATTCACACACAAACACACACTTGTCCATCTTTGTGGTTTCTTTATCAGGCTGCAGCCAGTTGGAAAAACGAGGCATAAAACCTAAAATCCAGATATGGAAATAAAAGTTTTCTCAAACATAAAAATGTAAAATCTTTGTGTCAGCTGCAAATTTATGACAGAAAACTCAGAAAAATACATTTTTACTTAAGGAACTATAATATTTTACTTTTCAAAGTGAAGTTGGAAACAAATTCACATATTTAAACTCCACAGTGCACCAAGAAAACCTCCAACATGGTCTAAAGAAGTCTATGAGTTCCTCACAGTGAGACATCACAATATATTTTTTATTTTCATTTGTTTTGCTTTCTCTAAGATTTACCAAACATTTGCCATTTTTATTTTCTTTTGCCAGATTTTTTCTGCCCCCTGGTTCTTACTTCCTCCAGAAGCTGCTGCACTGTGTGTACATCTGCTCACAGCGCCACAGCAATGATTTCTAAAGGTCTGATTAACACTCGACATTTCCATGTTCACTACCACGATCACTACCTTATTGTGGTGGAGATTTTTATATATATATATATATATATATGTTTTCAGGGGTGGGGGGATTTGTCCCTGGCAGGGTCTCCCATGGCAAATCATTTGAATCACTCTTTGTCTGGTTCCTCACCCAGGACCAGATAGTTTGAGCTCCAGTCTGCTGCAGAGGGGCTGGACTAAATGATGTCAGTCCTCTGGGGCAGATAAGAGCTAAGACTGATAAATAAATGAGCGTGCATGCCTAACACGTCTCTGACAGCAGGCAGTGCACTTGTTGAGAAGATTGAATTATCTTTTACACACCGACAGAAACAGCTGGGAAGCTGTACAACAAGACATTAAATCATCAAAGTGACTTAAGCTAAGTGCTGCTGAAAGAGATTTCCACACTTATGAAAAATACATCTGTGGACTTAAATATCTACAAGCCTGTGACTCAGTTTATTGGGTTATTAAATAATAACACATTTACAGCTTTGAAGGTCTTCACAAACATTTTAACATATTACAGGAGGAGAAGCTCGACTGTAATTAAAATGAAGTCAGTGGAGAGATGCAAACTGACACATTCGGTCTCCCTGTAATGGATTTATAGCTCTCAGAAGAGGAAGCTAACACAGGAATATCAGAAAGCGGGTCCAATTCTGGGAAACTGTTTACTTCGACCAGTGCTTTGGAGACGTTCCTGCTGGAAAAACCAGATTCACTCCTTTGTTGCTCTCATGTAGGAATCTAAATTAAGCAGCAGCCCGGCAGGAGCGCAGATCGGTTTCTGTGGTTCTGTCCATCTGTCCAGCCTTGAAGTCACTTGTTTATTTTCAGGGATCCTGGACCTCAAATCTAAATTCTCCTTCTTTGTTTGGAACGTGGACATTGATCCAAAGGCCTCGTTGAAAGCCAAACAAAGCTTTTGAAGATTTTTATAGCTGCAAGAAATAAAACTGTTTACAAAATGCCTGCTCGAGAAGAACACCTGCAACACTGCACCTTTTCTCTGTGCTTCAGCTCAACAGGTACGTGTTTTTGCTCCTTTCTTCAAAAGCAGAAGGTAGAGATGTACAAAACCCGCCCAGACATTCAGCACTTTTTCTATTCCTGTCTGACCCATTTACATGATTCAAACCTGAATTGTTGTTTTTATTTCTTTTACGTGTTATTCATGGAGCCCATCTCTGCTGTGTGCTTACGTAAACTAAGAATAGAAGTGTTGAGGTGGACAGCCCGCTGCGCTGTGATGGGTAGGCCTATATGAAGCTGGATACGTGACTCACCAGGCATGATGACATCTGGGAATCCCAGTTTGCGTGTGATGGCCACCCCCCTGCTGAAAATGAGCGGGTTTTCTCTGCGGACCTGCTCCATGTCGCCCCTCAGCAGCTGCAGGGAGATGATCAGCCCTGCAGGATGTGAAGGGGAAGAAATGGGAACAAGTGGGTTGACAGAAAAAGAAGATGGGTAGAGAGATGGATGAAAAGCAAAGGAAGAAGACAGAACAAAGTGTCCTATTTAAAAAGCACAGCCTTTAGGCCACACATAAAATTCAGATAAACTTAAAAAGTCTAAACAGTTTTGAAGCTGCAGAGCTCGTTTGATCTCCCCAGAATCAGAACAAACATTTCAATGCATGCTAAACGTTGCCAAACTGCTTTTCCAGCAGACTCTCAGCCTGTTAGTCTGGGTTCATCTCTTCACTTGAAAACAAAAGCATATCTGTGCGGGGTCATGGGAGTTCACAGACTTTAACACTGGGGTCCTCCACAGTGACACCAATTAATATGATTTTCCTGCTGATGTCAGTGTGATGACTTGCATGTGTCAGTCAGACGCTCTAATCTAAATAAGTTGCTCCTGGGAACTCTGAGGTTTTTGTTCAGTGTTCCTGAAATGTCGGCTGACTCATCAGCGATGAAATAAAACGAGTCACAAGTGCTGCAGGACTAGAATCTGCTCCTGCCCTCTGTGCTTTGACAGAAGTAATAAAGTGACTGGAAGAAACGGTCCACACAGAACATGAGCGGGCTGGAGCAATAACTGAGTGCTAGAAATTGCCTCCACCCTCGGCTGCTGTGTTCACAAAAACACCACCGCACTGCTAATGTTGCAGGGTAACCCTGCAAGGATAACGCATCTGCTTCTGGGTTTTGTGGCCAAAATAATTCACCTGGACAAAAAAATCCAGTAGAATAAAAAAATATACTTTTAGGACAATAAATTGTGCTCCGATATAGGTGTAGCAAGCCTGCTGTGTTGTTTGGGTGTTGATTGCTAACCTTTATGCCTCCTCTCTTACCATAGCTGGGTTGCCCGTCATTTCCTGTGGAGTGAGGGCACAGCTGGCTGCACTCAGCGATCAACCAGGCCTACAGTGTAAGAGCTGGGGAGGAGAGCAGCTCAGTCTCTCTATGGGCCAGACGTACAGTAGCCTTAGCCGTGTGTTGTGTTTTAATTATGTCAAGCTCCCAGTGAGTAACTGTGACCTTCTGTTTGCAGAGTGGGGTTTTTCTTCTTTTGTGTTGTTGAGGTGCAGATTCTTCATTTTTATCTCCCAACATTATCTGTTTGCTGATGCTTTTCTTTTATTTCTGGATTATTTAGGGCGTAGAGGCGAAGTTAGAGCTTTTAATAAAATCAGGGTTGAGTTTGTAACCTTTTCACCTTTTCTTTCACATGGATACTCTACTGTTACTCCCCTCGTCCTGTAGGCCAGCGGTCCCCACAGACCGGTTTATACCCGACAATATTTTCACAGACCGGCCATTAAGGTGTCATAAATACAAAATAAAACCAGTATACCAAAAAAAGAAGATTTATTCATTACACGGCGAAAGTCCGAAGGAAACCAAGTTAACGCTAAAAACTGATAAAAACCCAGAAAACCATACACTTCACCCCCGAGCCTCCACTCTCGCAGCCCGGTACCAAACAACTGGCCTGGAGGTTGGGAACCGCTGCTCTACTGTTACTCCCCTCATCCTGTAGCCCGTTTCAGGGCTTGTTCGGGATTCAGACCCAGAAAAGTTTGCATGAAAGAAAGTGGAGATCTTTGAGATATTAACAAGATATTTATTCTTAGATGTAACTATGAGCTTCAGTATTTGTATTTAGCATAAATCAGAGATGTGCTCTTCATCCCACACTCAGTTTGTTGGGGTCCGATCATCCAAACTCAGGGTACACAAACACGTGGTCTCTCCTACCGTAGTTGGTGCTGGGTGCCGTGTATTTGGTGCTGGACTTGCGGATGATGTTCTCATGGATCTGGTACCATTCATTCTCATTGTTACACCTGGAGAGCAACAAAAAACAATCATGTCCTATAAAGGATAACAATATATTTGTAACTTGTGTTTTTATACAACAAAAGTTCGGTTGGATATAATGGACTTTTGAAATCTAGTTATTTTGGCAGTTACTTTGGGGCGTACGTGCCATCAATCATTGCAATTAAAATATAAAATTGGGGCGTGGTCTACGGGTGGATGCTGGGGTGGTGAGGTGAATGACAGGTAGCAAGGCAGAGCAGCAGCGCTGACATGTCAGAGGAAGTGAGGGGAAATTTTGGAGTTAAATACACGGATAAATTGGAGCAGGTCTTTCTTCCATGTCTCCATGTCTCCCTCTCTGTTGTCTGTTCTCCTGTCGCACCAAACATCTGTCCTCTGAATCTTCTCTTCTTCTGCATGGAGCTCGAACTTCATCATATTCATTTCAAATCCCTTCCATCCTGCTCACTCCCAGTGTGGATCTTAATATCTTCAGCCGGGCCTCCTGTCTCTTTGTCGGTGTCATCATCTCCAAACGACACACGGCAGCAGGTTCACTCCCATCTTGTAGGCTTCCCTTTCACTCCTGCTGCTACTCCAAAAATGCAACAAAACATCTGTCTGTGTGCAGATCATCTTCACCTGGGCTTCATCGCTGATCTCTTGACAAACCCACTCTCCATTTCGAGTGCCGACCTGCCGCATTTTTGTGCAAACGCATCTTTGGTTCTGTGGTTTTGTTGGAAAATGTAACATCTCTGTTTGTATTGCACACTTCTGTGCACTAGAGAGTGCTGCTCTCGGCCAAATCATACATTTTTTTTTCATTTTTTTGTTTCATAAAGGGAAAACAGTTTTTAGATTAGACCAAAGGTCAGATTAAACACCTGTTAATGGCATCTTTGAGCCATTTAGAGGCCAGGAAATTGCATTTTCACAGTTTTACAGATCGACTGATTAATCAAGACGTCTAACCCCCCGTGAACCGACCCGAGCAGTTCAGCTAAGACTGAGGCATCAAACACACACACACACACACACACACACACACACACACACACACACACACACGCACACACACACACACACACACAGATCCTGCAGGCACGTTTTCAGAGGTTCAGCTGAGGGGTAGTCTCTAATGCCGAGCATCGACTTTGCGTGTGAGTGAAAGAACAGCTGCTGACGTCACAAACTGCACTGACAGTGAGGCTGTGCAGCCGCTCTCAGTCTCTCTTACAAATAAGGAAAGGAGAGAAAAAGAAGAGGCTGGTGGTGACAGAGAGATAAGCACAGAAGTAAAGCTATAATAAAAATATATGGCATGCCCCACTCTTTACTGTCTCTCCAGCTCGCTTATCTTTAACCTTCTCCTCTTTCTCTCTCTGACCTTTTCTCTCAGCCCAGAAATATTTAGAGTAGGACAAAATGATTTTCCAAAAAGAAAATATCATCTCTGAGCTCTGGGTGTGTTGAGTTTGTGCTGTAAGCTGATATTTTTGGGCACTTTTGCTATTTTAGTTCACTCAAACATACAGTAATATGATAAATATGGATTTAAAACAAAGACTTTTAGCTTTAATATCAGGACTTTACCAAAAAAACAGGGTCACATGTACCCGGACATATCAGCATAATCGTAACAAAATATTTAAAAAGTAAACATTTTGTTTACGTTTTAATATTTAATTAAGAACCCCTTACAGGTACCGACCTTCTCCAGCCCAAACTCATTACGAGTGAGTGTTTCCTCCTTTGTAACTCTGCCAGCTTCTGACTGCAGCTGTGTTTCCTGCCTTTAGTTTTCTCCTCTGTAAACGAAATGCTGGCAGGTTTGAGATCAGCTGATTCTTTACCTTCCTAAACCCGGGGTTGCATTTGCAATTTTTTTACTTGGGTCATTGTCCATCTGTCCAGCAACTAAACCTGAGATCTGTACACTTCATTCAGGATTCATATGTCTGCTTATGTCTCCTGTCACATCATCGATCAGCACCAGCGACTCATATCTGTGTCACTGCTTCACCACAGGTTCGAGTCCTGTGCTGTGAGTCTAATCAGGCCTTTACTTGTGGTGAACCCTCAGTATTTTCTCTTGCCTCGTTATCTGCGAGTGCAGACACTTACGTGTACACTTTAAGGACAAAATCTTTCTCCTCTTTGAGCTCTGAGATGGTCTGCAGCACGTCGCTCATGGCCAGGACCGCACAGCCATACGGTCGACGGTACTGGACGTGCGGAGGACCCTTCTTACTGTCATTCAGCAGCATTCGACCTGTAACCAGAAGCGTGTGCGTCACATAATGAGAAAGGCTCCTGTTCCATTCATACGACAGCATTCATTTCTTTCTATTTTAATCTGAATGGTATCTCAGGTTAATAAAGGTTAAGTTATTTCAGGCATTTCTGCAGGAATTGTTTCCACCTACATAACATAACTTACCTGTCCTGATAACTTGTGAGACAATATAGAGATCTCTCTTCATGTCTTTGTTACTCAGATCCTGTGAGAAAAAGAAAAAGGTATCATCATCATCATCATCATCCACCAGCTTCAGCTTTTCTTACAATTAAAGGTTTGTGCTCTGAGTTTCTGTTCGTAACGTTTATGGACAGAACTCCGATGTGGAGCCAGGAGCTCCTGGATCACATCTTTTGCTGTTTTTTGCAGATGATGGTGCTGCTGGTCCAGTCAGAGGTGATCTCCAGCTCCAGCTGGGGAGGTTTTGCAGCCAAATGCAACACAGTTGGACTGATAATTAACACTTCCACCTTGAGGCACTGCTTCTCAGCAGGAAAATCGTGGTTTCTAGCACTCCGGGAGAGGAATGATTTCCTGCCCCAAGTTAAGAAGTTCAGGTTTCTCTGGATCTTGTTCATGAGTTGAGGAAGATTGGAGCAGGAGACTGCCAGACAGACTGATGTGGATGCTGTACCACTCACTGAGCGGGTAGGTGAAGTTGTTATCGGTCGGTCTATGTTTCTCACTTATGGCTCACGAGCTAAGAATAAGACTTCAGAGGAAATTAGCTTCTGACTGGGCTCAGCTTCAGAGATATTTAGTTTGAGGAGCTTCATGAAAATTAGCCAGCTGTTCAGATATGTCAGGAAACTCGAGGGCGCAGGACAGGCTGTAACGATCAGCTTATCCTGGGTTTGCTGGGTTTGGGAAGGCCCTGGAAGAGCTGGAGGAGGCCCAGGGAGACAGGAGGACTAAGAAGCTCTGCTTAGACTGCTGCATCAGTGGATTGTTTTATTCATTTTATAAATATGTGTGTAATTTAGACATATATGGACTGATTCCAGCTCGGGTTGAAACAGGAACGCTCAGATTTAACCAGCTTAATCATTTAGGCACGTCTGGTTTCATCTCCCCTGTGACTTACATGTAAATCATGCATTCACCTTATAATACTGACTTCAATTGAGTTTTTGTAATTACTGAAGAATTCAAATAACTGCATCAGTGAACGTTGGGAGCTTTAGTGCAGCAAAAATGCATCAAACGATCTGCAGACTGATTCTGCTGCAGAGCAACAGGGGGCAATGCTTCCTCACTTTTAGATCCACAGTTTTTCAACTGTTCCCTTCTTAAATTACACGAAACACCATCACTGCCCCACGAGTTTCATTAAACGTGTGTGTGTGTGTGTGTGTGTGTGTGTGTGTGTGTGTGTGTGTGTGTGTGTGTGTGTGTGTGTGTTGTTACCGTGAAGAGGGCACACAGCCGGTCCACCTTCTCTGGATTCTTTGGACCTCCGTTCTTGTTCAGTCTCACCATGAACTTCTCACTGAAACAACACAACCGACGGCCACTTTGGTTAGTTTTAGTAAAAACGATTTCTCTCAGTGAGATCAGGTCGTCACCGCCTCTGTGCTGCTTTATCGCTGATATCTGACCTGAGAAAAGGAGATACAGGAAACAGCGTGTGGCGTCGCTCTCTCTTTATTCACAGACTCTCCCAGATGGCTTTATCTGGCAGAGTCTGTGAATAAAACTTAAAAAACTTCTGTTTTTCTTTAAATGTTCCTCATATCAGCCACATGTCAACTGCACATGCTGCTCAAGCCTGAGGTTGAGAAGCTCTAACCGCTGGCAATTTACCCCCGGCGCCCTCTCTCCGTCTCCTCGAGGGATTTCTGAAAGAGATAAAAATTCTTTTGGATTTCTGCTCAAGCCTTTTCCCCGCGAGTACCAGCAGTGAGGAAACTCTAAAGCAGCATGTCTCAGCCTTTTTCGCTTCAGGGAACAGCAAAGTATTGTCTGCTGGTGTCAGCGACTCTGTTCTTTTAACCCATATTTATCCAGGGAGACGCGACGGAGCTGACGGGCCTTTGTTCAGCCACGTCGTGCCTCAGACACATTAGAAGATTTCTCAAATCATAAGTACGTCTGACAGGAGCGAGCTGCACATAAATCCACTGATACTCGCTGACTTACTGTCGTGTTCTTCTTGATGCCCGTCAGTCTTAAAGCAGGCAGGTCTTACATCACGCGAGGTCGCCTCAGGCCAGATGCCAGAAAATCGAGATGCGGAGGCACAAAACGGGAATCCAGATGGGGAATGATATTTCGACATCAATCAACAATATCAATATACAAATATTAGCTGACAGGGATATTCAGCCTTATATATTTGAGTGTTAAGCACAAACTAAAGTCTGAGTTTTTGGCTCACAGCGATTATTTGTACATCGGCGATCCTCATCAATGAAGGATCCACAGTCGTAAGAACGTCTTTATGACAGAAACAAGGAAACAGTTTTATCTTATGAGCTTCATGAACAGCCCCAGAGTCTGTAATGAACTGAGTTACATTTAAAAGGATGTTAGATAATTAGATACGAGTCAACATATCCCTACCACAGTCATGCCTGTTTAGGAAAGTGTCACGGTCCTGGGCCGTGTTGGCCCAGTATTCTTAGTTTTCGTGTGTTTTGTATTTTGTTCTTTATTTATGCCGTGGTTCCTGGGTTCTGTTAAGATGTTCCTTATTGGATTACCCTCTGTGTATCTGTGAGCCCTCGTTTCCCCTCCTTGTGTTTTATTCCACGTTTTCCCCAGCCCGTCATGTCCCTGCTCTCCCCGTGCTCTCTCTCCTCCTGTCTGAACCTCTGTGTACTTCCTGTTTTACTTTGACAGTCTCCCGTCAGTGTTGCGTTCACTCCTGCCGTGTCTCGTTACGATTATCTGTGTCACCTGTGTTCCCCGTGTGCTCCCACTTCCCTCGTTAACCCTCTGTGTATTTATGTCTGCGTCTCCCTCAGTTCTGTGTCGCGTTCTCCCTCATTCATGGCCGTGTGTTTCTCCGTGCAATATGTTTCCAGTTTAGTTTGTATGGTTTTTCAGCAATAAAGCTGTTTTGAGTTCAATCCTGCCTCTGTGAGCTTGCGTTTGGGTCCTCATCCTGCCTGCACACAGCCGCAACCATGACAGAAAATGATAAACGAGTGACCAAGGTTATATTTTAGCTTCTGATATTTTTACAGCACAGCAGAGAAGTCTGAGTTGGGATGCCTCCAACAAAACGGTCCGGCTCTTCGACTGCCAGCCAGAAAATCTCAGTCCACGATCTTCTCCTGGTGGAGTTTCTGAACTGGGTTCAGTCAGCGAAATCCTTTTTTTCTGCCTTCAAAAACTGCTTGAGCAGCTGCCACTTCTGAGAGCACTTACCCACCTAATGAGCCCTTCATCTCTCCATCACCATCCGCTGCACTTCTCTATATTTCCCATTTGCTTCATGCGCCTACAGACTTATGGGCATGAAAGACGGAGCAGCGAGGGCCTGATTTTCTCTGTCTGTTCCTTTATCTGCTCAAGTTCGGGTTGTACCTCAATTTTACAATGCATAGGACAAAAGTTTCCTGCAAATTAATAAGTGTAAGAAGTAGAAGAGCGATGGAGAACGTGTTCTTCATTCTTCTGGACAAGACCGAGCAGGACGAACGCTCTGACAGTCAGTCCTGGGCAAAATGGTTTATGAGACAATGCATTAGAGTATTATCTACTCTCATTTTATTAGTTTTTCAACTGAAGCCATCACTTCGTTAGCACTGTTAAGTAAAACCCTTCCCTGTTTAATATGTTGCCTCCATTCCTGGCTCCTTTTCTTTAGACAACAGAAGAATGAAAGCAGCGATTCTCAGTGAGTCAGTCTCTCTCTGAGCTGTAGAATATTTGCAGTCCTGCATCAGTGTTCAGCACACGTAGTGAGGTGGCAGAGACGATGGCCTTTACATCGGGAAACTTCTCTGCAGCGGTGATAATAAGGGTCTGCTGAAGAGCTCGGCTTCAGACGCACCTGCTTCAAAACACTGAGGTGAGCAATGCTCAGAAATGGCACGGCTGGCTTTCAGCTCAGGTAAAGACAACAGAATGAAGGAATGAAGATGCTGATTATGTGGAGGTTCGAAATGCTGCCGATATCAGCTGACTGTGCAGGGAAGAGAAGTGATCACATTACGAGGTCAATCACAGAGTAGATTGCACATGCTGCCACCCGTGCGATAGATTGTTGTAACAACATAAATCATAATATAAACTCAAAAAATGCAAATTCTAGTTTTTACATGATCTTATTTCTTTTGAAATGTTTGTGTGCATGGAGTGAAACCTGCGAGTGATCAGGATGACACGTCGAGCTACGTCGTCACGCATCAAACATGCGCTCCCAGCTCACGGGTCTAATGAAGTGCCGGTGCTCTGCATCCACCATCGATTCACTCAACGCTCACAAATTTCTGCCATATTAGTTTGAAGTGATGAGTTCAGAGCCTTGATGACAAACTAAAACTATTTTCTGCTGCTGTAATAAATCATCTCAAACAGAACTGTTGGCTGACGATGTGTTCACACACCGATCGTTAGAAATCCTCTAACTGAACGTCCTCATTAACATAAACGGCCCAACTAAATACGGTATCTCATTATAGAACATTGTTCCTCATATAGTCTTTATTACTCAGCAGATTACCCCCCGCCACATATGATAAGACTCTGAGGTTATAGTGTAAGGTAATACGCAAACAACAACGAGGACCCACAAATCCCTACAACACAGACACACACTGCGTCTGGCTCTTTAAATGGAACAATTTATTCTAATCCCCCAGAGACACTGTGGGCCAAACAAATACAACAAAACACAATAAATATGTATTTCTCCTCAAACAGTGGGACGCTGTGACTTAGTGGAAGATGTGGGGGTGAGGAGGCACAAAGAAAGACTGAGATATGGGTTTTACATTCTGCTCTAAATCCTGTTTTTGTTTCTTTAAATATTGTTGCTGGTTGTTTTTTTATTCAGTCAGAGTTTGATTCAAGGAAGAAAACAATGATATAATCGACAAAATAAGAACATTTTATTTGTTTATATGTTATGTAGGAAGAAGACGGCGTGTTCTTCCCTCATATTTATGCGTGTGTGGTACTGAGGCAGGTTATTGGCTGCTAGTTGGATGGGACCGGTCTCTTCCGGGGATCCTTGGGGATTAAGAGCGTCCAGCTTTCAGTTAGCCATTCCGGGTGTCTCTCATCAATTAGCAGCAGGTTCAGCAAAAGCATTAGAATGTCATTCAGACTGAAGAAGTGTAGTCGGATGATAACAAAGAGAGAGATGGTAGTCAGAACTGAGGGGCTCGAACTACCAGAAGGCAACATTGCAGACATTGAGGACAACTACAAGCACCTGGGATCTGGCAGGCAAATGGGAACCATGAAGAGGCTGCTAGGAACCCTGCTGGGATAATAAGTTGGCCAAAGGAGGAGATAGAAGCCACTGACATAAAGACAAGGAAGCTCCTGACCATGCATGGAGGGTTTCACCCCAAGTCCAGCACCCTGAGGCTGTACGCTAAGCGGAAGGAAGGGGGCCGGGGACTGGTGAGTGTCAGCACCACAGTCCAGGATGAGACAACGAACATCCAAGAATACATTGGGAAAATGGCCCCAACTGACCGAGTGCTCAGTGAATACCTCAGGCAGCAGAAACCCAAGAAAGAGGAGGGAGACGAGGAACCATCATGGAAGGACAGGCCCCTGCACGGTATGTACCACCGGCAGATAGAGGAGGTGGCTGATATCCAGAAATCCTACCAGTGGCTGGACAACGCTGGACTGAAAGACAGCACAGAGGCACTAATCATGGCAGCACAAGAACAAGCTCTGAGTACAAGATCCATAGAGGCTGGGGTCTATCACACCAGGCAAGACCCCAGGTGCAGGCTGTGCAAAGAGGCCCCAGAGACAATCCAGCACATAACAGCAGGGTGCAAGATGCTAGCAGGCAAGGCATACATGGAACGCCATAACCAAGTGGCCGGCATAGTGTACACGAACATCTGTGCCGAGTATAACCTGGAAGTCCCGAGGTCAAAATGCTAAGATCCTGTGTGAGTTCCAAACACAGACTGACAAAATAGCATTGTAGCAATAGATGTAGTGATCCGAATGATAGCAACATCAGTCAGAAGGAACACAAGTAGCTGGAGAAGTACCAAGAGTTCAGAGAAGCGGCACTCACCAAACTAGGCGAGTGGCTCCAGCAGATCCAGGAACAACATCCAAGCTCTCTGTCCAGAAGAGCAGAGTCCTAGGAACAGCAAAGACACTGCACAGAACCCTCAAGCTTCCAAGCCTCAGGCTGACGACCCGAGCTTCAAGGATAAAAGACCGCCCACATCAGCAAGAGGGGAATTTTTATCCACCGAAGTTATTTGTAACTATCCCTTTGGGTGGCAGCAGGAACAAGTGAATGAATCATACACATATGACAAAGACTATTCACTAAGA